CAGCGTGTCACGCACACGTCAATACGCGAGCACGGCCGCACCGCCGGCCGGCCGGCCGCTGGCCGCCGCCGAAAGCTCGATACGCGGCCACCGGGCCCAGCTCGGGCGCCGGCCTCAAACGGAAAGACGCGGAAGGGAGGCGTGCTCCCCCGGCGCCGGTGGGTGGCCAGGACAGGACGGGGGGCAGCGTCACGCCGGCCGCGCGGCATCCTGATCAGGCGAGTTGGCACCAACCCCGGTTTCTGAATACAGTCTGAGGCTCAGCACACTGAGCCCCAGGGGCGGCGCAGAATGGGGGGGGGAGGGGCAGTCCCCCCCCCCCCCGGGGCAAGAGTACGGTTTTCCCCTCAAAGGTTTTGAGAGGCTGCTTGTTTCCAAACAAAAGGCATTGCAGCTGCCGCAGATTGCCAATGCTCAGATCGAGGCCTCCATGACCAGGCAGGAGAGTAATAATCGGACTCAAAAGACTCTGTTATGTCAAGAGGCCCATTTCTGTATCATGATTCTACCTTTATGGATAAGGTAGACCATCCTTTAGATTGGTGCACCTGGTGTGATCTTAAGGAAGCCCATTTGCTGGCTACGGTGGCCATCGTTGCAAACTAGGAGGCCGCTGTTCCGGGTTAGGAGACACTTTCAACATTAAGGAGGCCCCATTACTGGAACAGGAGGTCCCGGTCATGTATCAGATGGCCGCAGTTCCATATCGAGATGCCTGTTTTGGAATAACGCGCGCCCCTCGCTGGACTTGGAGGCCCCTTCATGAAAAAGCACCTTTTGGGGGTCCTGTCTGCATCAGGAGACCCTTTTCTGGGACAAGCCCCGTTGAAGAAAAGCGAGGCCCTTTGCTGGATGATCAGAAGGCCCTCATTCTGGATATTACATGGATGTGATGCACGCAACCATTTGATAAGGGGCATACACCGTCGGTTCATCTAGCTCTTAAATGCGACATCGCCCAGGAGCTCCCCCCCCCCCCCCCCCCCCCTCCCTCCCCCCCCGGTGAATAGACTCCATTTAGTCCAGGGGACCCCCTGGAATATCCTGTCTCCAACCCGAAATAAATAGAGCCGCCCCTGTTTAAGCCATGAACAAGAGGGGAAACCCTTGGGCTACCTCACTTAACTCACCAGACCTCAGCCACGAGCTGCCACCCGAGTATCGTCACATGATCTATATCATGTCAGCCATGAGCCGAGGCTCCCACCAGAGCATCGTCACGTGATCTATCTCATGTCACCCCTGAACCGGAGGCTGCCACCCGAGCATCGTCACGTGATCTATCTCATGTCACCCATGAACCGGAGGCTGCCACCCGAGCATCGTCACGTGATCTATCTCATGTCACCCCTGAACCGGAGGCTGCCACCCGAGCATCGTCACGTTATCCACCTCCAGTCACCTCTGAACCGGAGGCTGCTGACCACAATCATCAGCTTTGTGGCTTCGCCCGCCATCACGTTACGGGCGCCGAGATGTCGGCAGACTGATTTGCACGGAAGGAATTCATCTCTATTGTTTACCGATTTTGCAGAGCCCAAGCGAGGCCACCTCCTCACCAGGACAGATTTGTAGGCGCCCTCGTGAGCAAGTCGTCCCTAAACTCCCCTTTTCACCGAGCCTCCGCCCCCGCGAGCCGCCCGACCCGGGTCGTGATAGCGGTGGAGTCCAGTCGGAGCACCTGCCTCTAACCTGGGTAGTTTTCGCAGAGGACTCGACGGGCGTGGCGCGCTTGGTGTCGCCGATCTTCTGGTACCGCTCCTTGAGGTCTCGGCCGTAGGCCTGCCAGGGCAGGCTGCGCGCAGGAAGTACATGAACATGTGACCCAGCGCCTCAAGGTCATCCCTCCGGCTTTGCTCTGAAACACAGGCCGTGGGTGCGTGTCAACAGGTCATCAAACGACGTAATACAGTGCCACAAACCGGCAACCGCAGATGCGGCGCTGCGCAGCGTCAGAGACCACGCTTCGACTTCGTCATCATATGCACGTGAAATTCAGCCGGGGACAAATTCGCCATGAAACCATGCATGGACAAAAAGAGAAGAGCACAGGCCTATTCATGCCTTTGCGGATACGTTCGAAGAACAATGATGGGCCACGTTTACGGTGGCGTTCAAACAAAACCTAGCACGAGGTACGCTCCGGAAGGAAAGTATTCACCCCGTCACTGCACACCGCACTGCCCACGACCACCAGAACCTAAAGAATTTAGCTTCAAAAACACTGCGTATGCTCTCAAGCCTTGTATCCACAAAGTCCGTTTCCAAAGTGGCATCCCTGCC